GTGTGTGTGTGTGTGTGTGTGTGTGTGTGTGTGTACAAACAAACTAAAATTATAGACATATGTGGCACCAAGTTTAAAAAAATATTTAAAAATAGCATATTTTCATTAATTAGTTGAAGTGTAAAATCATATTATTATTTAGCTCATTCTTTTGCATTTTGCTACTTTTAATAAATGTTAAATATAAATGTTAAAAAAATTTGCAAATATTAAATCTTAAATGTAAAAATTAAATCTGAAATTTTGCGACAACAGCAACCGCTATTGCTGCTAATGAAAATGGCATCTAAATTCACACTTTGCTCATTGAAAACAGTATGAATGGTGTCTGTGGTCTGACGGTTTGAAGTGCAGCTCAGACACCGGCCACAAACTGCAAATTACATATATCGGAAGTGTTAGCAGTATTAGCAGCATTAGCAGTGTTAGCGGTTGCTTTTGTCTCAGGATGATGATGTCATCATAACAAGAGCCGAGCATCAAAAGCAAAGGTTGAGTTCCATTCTGAGATTCTTAGCTGCAACATTTAAGGTTTTATTTTTACATTTAGATTTAGGATTTAATGTTTGTGCACAACATTTAACATTTACATTTAAGTTAAGAAACTGAGCTAAATAATGAAAATATGTTTGCGACATTTTTTAACATTTTTTATTACACTAGGCACCACATATAGATCACCTGAAAGAAGAGAAGGTATTCATAAAATAAACATCATTTGTTTGTAGTTTCTGACTCACCTCTGACAACCAGGTGGGCAGAGGCGGTGATGTTGTCGACCTGGGTCTTTGCGATGCACGTGTAGTGCCCAGCGTGCTTCAGCTGGACATTTTTAATCAGCAGCTTGCTATTTGAACTGCCATTCTGCATAAACCAAGACAAGCAGCAGCAATTAAATAAAGACTGAGCAATAAATTTAATGACAAAGATTTTCACTCTGCTAGAGTCTCATCTTGGAAAAAGGAAATATAATTCAAGTGAGCGGAGTGGTTTGAGACGATTGTACAGCGGCATGATGGCTTAGTGGTTAGGATTGTTGCCTCACAGCAAAAAGGTTCTGGTTTAAGCCCAGAGTTGGACCTTGGGTTGTTTTGTGTGGAGTTTTAATGTTCTCAGGCCCAGGCCACACTTTAAAGAGAGATCTGTGATCTCAATGGGATTTGGTCAAATTAAAAAAAGAAAAAAGATGATTTAGACTAAAAAAAACATATTTTTCTATGACCTAAAGTGAGGTCAGTCCTACTTAATAAAAGGAAAAAAAAATCAAGAACTAAATTATACATCACCGCAATTGGGTTGCTGCTTGATTTAGCCAAACATAAACAAATGTGAAACCAAACCTCATTTTTAAACAGGGGAAATCCCTGCACACCAAAATGGAATTTCATCAATCACAGTCATAATATGCTGGTTGCTGAGCAGCAGAGAGACAAATCCAGAGCTCCACAGATGGAAGAAGTCCTTTCAGCAGCAGCAATCACAACTGATAGATAATACTTGGATAAAGACGGTATGCCAATTTCTTTTTAAAGCACTCTGCTTTTTTCAGTCTGTAATTTAAGTGTTGGAGTAAAATATTCTGACCTGGATGAAGTTAAGATAAAAGTGGAAATGTTCAGACTTTTTCTTTTTCTTTTCAGTCCACCTAAACAAAACATGATTATTACACATCTCACCAAGACGCTTTCAAAATGCGCACTGTCCTTGTGTAAATCAATTTCTCTTCCATCCAGGGACCAGACAAAAGTGATGTCCACCAGCTGGTCATGTGATGCTGCACACTGCATCCAGGTGTCATCTCCCACATTAGCATCTGCATTAGACGGTGCCAAGGTGATCTTTGTGGACTCTGTGGGGGGTGGGGGGTGACGGGACAAGGAAACAAGGACATGCCTGGTGGCTTAAACTGTTTAAATGAACATCAGCATGGGGATTTGTCCCCTGTGAGAATCACACTAGAAAATCGTTTTGCAGTGAAAATTTAGGACACTAATCATATTTGCTGACTCAGCATTCTACACCATGTACAATAAAGCAAAAATAAAAGAATGACCAACGTTTTCTTGAACTTTTCTCATGGTATTTATAAGATTGATGTTTCATTTGTTGTTGGATCTTCTTCTCGTGGGTTTTCCTTTTGTTCATTTTTACTGTTTGTGCTATTCAAGCAACAGCTTTACCTTGAAGCATAAGATGCATTTTTACTCCTTGTCCAAAATAAATTCACTTATTTATTATAATTTTTATGTGGATGTGTGTATTGACGTATTTTTCTTCTAATCATCTCATATCTCCCCACATTAACTTACCATCTACGAGCAAAATCCCTCTCGCAATCCAACACAAAGTCAGTGAAAGTGTCTGTTCTCTGCTATCTTGAGTATGCACAGGGCAACATTTCTAAAAGTTGTAATAAATTTCGACATATGGAGCACCTAAACACGATGATGAAAATCGACAAAAAGACTTGTTCGTTTGGAAGGAAAGGTTCAGTTTACAAAAACATCCAGAAGAGGGCAGAAACGAGCTGTGCATTAAGACGTATTAGAGCTCAGCTGTTTTAAAAGAAAAAAAATGCATTGCAGCTGAGATTTTAGAAATCATGATGCAAAAAATTTATATAAATTAGCATTTGTTTTGGGGGGTAAACAATCTCAGCTGATCTTGAACTCCCAAGTGTTCTTGTATTATTACTGAACAATGACAGCTAATCCTCTTGTCTCGGCCCACTGGATCTAAAGCAACCCCCTCATGCATCTGCCCTTGGGGGGGATGACTGAATAACCAGCAGGAGGCCGTGTTTGTTATCATTCTCCTCTGTGGGTTAGTTTTTAAAACCAGCCGACTTTTAAATGTTGACCCTGAGTTGATGGGCTGAATGATTGCCAGTTAATGTCAGCATCCGTCAAAGCGAGCTCAGCTGTCCAGGAATCAACAGAGGCACGAACAGAACAATTAAATAAATATCGGCGTCTGAATGCGGCTTGCCTGTGACCAGCAGAGGGCGAGTGCTGTTGGCCTTCCCCAAGTGGTTCTCAGCGAAACAGGTGTACCTGCCCTCGTCAGCCTGCGTCACATTGAGGATCTCCAGGCTCCCGTCCAACCAGATGAATACTCTGAGGGAGCAGAATAAAATGTTTACTCACTCTGCAGAGAGGAAGTCTTATAATGTAAAGTATTCAGCACAGATTCTGAAGGTCAGAAGTGCCCTGTTTGTTATTCTGTGGGTGAATGAAGGATGAAAAGAATGATGAAAACACTCAAAATATCTGCCCATTTTCATTCGATCATTTAAAACACTATTGAAGATTTTTTTTCTGCACGTTTCATATCCATGCATGACAAGTAGTTCACCAGCTGCCCCATCACCACAATGCGTCCTCGACAGCAGAGAATTAGGATGCATATGCTGCTTTGTAATTTGCCTGCCATCCCTCCTCTACAATATGTGAGGGGGGTTGGGGGAGGGGGGCAGCATCAGGGATCATAGCTGGGGGTCACGCTGCTCGCAGATTATGTTTGTTTTGTCGGTGAGGAGCACGAGGCAGGGCTTTAGTCTCCACTCTGTCCACGCTGAACTTCAGAGGAAACTTAATGTCAGCTGCTGTGTGGAAATCACCGAATACTTTTCTAAAAATATGAGATGTTTAGCTAACTTAGGTCCTACAGATCAACATTTTGTAGTGTTTGTGTTGCCGCTGTAGATCCCCTTCAAAGTAGAATGACAGATTCTTTTTTTTGTGACCCAGATGTGTCTCTCAGTGACAGATAATATCATGTCATACAGTTGATGAATTTTGGCATTAGAAATAAGAAAAGGAAAACTAAGCCAGGTTTTATGAATGAATACAAAGACTAAATAAAGACTATTAATAAATGAAAATAGATGACCAATATTTATTTATTGTTTTAAATCACACAAATATGAATTAAAACTACTCCTTTTTATTCAAATATGAATAAAAATGCATCATATTTCCACTGATTAGGCCCACCCGCTTTCATGTCAAACCTTTGAAAATAAACTTGTACTATCCGGTTGTGCTCGTGGCATTTGTTGGAGCTGATTCCCCGCTCTAACCACACAAACTTCTAGCTCAGTACGTGAAAAACAACTGAGCTTTAGATATTTTTTTTAAGTTTGCTAAGGTTGTTTATTTTGGCAGCCATTCTAATACAGTATATATATA